ATTACTTTTAGTATACATTATATCTGAAGTGTTCATATAGGTGTGGTATAGTCAAAAACGTTCACTATGTCAGGTTAATTTGATATATTCCTGAGTTGATTATTTTACCTGCATGTTTCTTGCTGCAATGAGCCTTGAGACCTTTTTGAAAGCACTGATTTCACCTGTGACCTGTAACCAGCATTGATTCGACTGACCTTCAACCTGTACTGGCATTGACCCGACCTCCGACTTATATCAAAACTATCCCAACATTTAACCTCCGATCAATACCAGCATTGACCAGATCCCCAAACCTCCAATTTATACCAGCACCATCTTGACCTCCGACCCGACCCATTCTAGTAAGTGGGTGGCCTCCTGACCTCTCCCTGACACCTAAACAGACACGTAATCTTTTGGTCGTCAAGGTAGGTCGCCACTTTCCACACCTGCTCGCTTACTCAGGTGTTTCGTATGTAAATTATTATAACTGATGGAGACAGATGGTTTTACTTTCGCTAGTGTGTCTGTATGTGTGTGTGTGTGTGTGTGTGTGTGTGTGTGTGTGTGTGTGTGTGTGTGTCCATTAATTTATTTCTTTACCCATTTCTCTTTTCATCTATCTATCTATCTATCTATCTATCTATCTGTCTAGTCCTCTCTTATCTTTTAAATCCTTACCAACCCTTATTCTCCCTCCTTCCCTCCCCTCACCACATTCGTTACGCTGAAGACAACGTAAATAACACGAGAAATCATAATAAAACAGAGAATAAACCTGTAAAGGAGGAAAATGGCGGATATATTTCATGGTAATATCTGTAGTCATCTTTTTCTTGGTTTATTTTCATGGCCGTTCATGGCAACAAAATTACTCTTCCTGTCACTCGATGGTAAACAATTATTCCTTGGACCTCAACCAGTCGGAACCACGGACAATTTTCTCCTCGCGCTCTGATTGGCCTAGAGACAATTAAAAAAAGAACTTCCTGATAAGGAGGGCGGGATGGGGGGATGGGGGATGGGGGTGGTGGGGGTGGAGGTGGGAGGTGGGGGGTTTGTTTGTCACTCTCTTACATAACAACTTTCCATGTACCTACAGCATTTCTGGTTACCCAACTCGACACAACACACACCTGACAAACACAAACACCGTCAACACACACCTGACAAGCACAAACACCGTCAACACACACCTGACAAGCATACTCCCTCACACCCATGACTTAGAGCAATTCAGTATCAACGGCACCACTTTATTTATTTTCTATTATATAAAGATAAACAGAGAGAGAGAGAGAGAGAGAGAGAGAGAGAGAGAGAGAGCCTAATTATCTCTAAATAGACTTAAATATACTGACTCCACATTTCGGGCACAGTCGTTAACGGATCATTAGAGGACTCCTCGCCTCAGGTTAACTATCATGACGCTAGTTCCTGGTTTTGTGTGTGTGTGTGTGTGTGTGTGTGTGTGTGTGTGTGTGTGTACCATTACTTTTACTACTGCTATCCCCACCACCGATACAACTACTACTACTACTTCTACTACTACGTGACCTCCAGCCTCCCCCAATAGCCACACCTTCGCCGCCATTTTATTACCTTAATATTAAATATCCTAATACATAAGTAGCTATCCTATCTGTGATGAATTAGTTGAGTCGCAGATCTATGCGGCATTCAGTGACTGTAGCCTCATAGTCAATATCTGCGGCAGTTGTCGGAGTAGGGGCAGAAGCTCTCGTTCCCCTGAGGCAAAGCAAAGCCGACCGAAGGAGAGAGAAGGACAGTCGACATCTCAATAAGGCTGCAACGTAGCTTCTGGGCTGCTGCTTCTGTTCAGATAACACCTCCGCGAGTCTGGCGTAGAAGCGTCTTGCACTTGGTCCCATTCCCCCCAGAGGTTGTGAACACTAGAGGAGTGAGGCTGCCTTGGTTCACATTTTGAATTATCTCCCACTACGCCTTGTTCTTGTCGTTCTCGTTCCTCCTGTGTGCAGCCTCGAGAGCTAGGTTAAGGTGACATGCGGCCATGGGGTCGAAAATCCTGGTGTCAAAGACTCGCTGTCCCCGCGTCCAGAATCCTCGACCACTGACTACTACTACTACTACCACTATTTCTACTACTACCATCCCATCACCACCACCACCAACACTACCACCACCACCATTCTACACCCCATCCCTACCACCACTACCACCCACTACCACCACCACCACCATCCTACCACCCCATCACCACTACCACCACCACCCACACCACCATCCCACCACCACCACCATTACACCACCCCATCACCCTTCACCACCACCACCACTACACCACCCACCATTACTACACACCTACCACCACCACACCCACCACCACCACTACTACCACCACCACCACCACCACCATTACTACTACCATCCCATCACCACCACTACCACCACAAACCACACTAAGAGGAGACTCTGGGTGTGCTGTGGAATAACCCAGTCGGATCATCACAGTGTTGGCTTCAAGTAACATGCATAAGACAAGGTTGAGGGTTCGATCCCCTGTGTGCCTCGTCTCCATTCATACAAGACTTATTTTTTGTGATATGTGTACCCTATGTTAGGTTAAGTTAGGTTAGTTTAAGTTAGGTCAGGTGAGGTTAGGATAGGTTAAGGTAGGGTAGATTAGAAAACTTTCCAGACGGTTTTCAAATTTATAGTAATGATGAGAGAGAGAGAGAGAGAGAGAGAGAGAGAGAGAGAGAGAGAGAGAGTAATCTTCGTTTTAAATAAAAATCATTTATCAATAATGTCTACTTTATTCATTTTATCATCTATCTATTTTGTTATCGCCTTTACATTACCCTTAATTATATTCACGAATTTCCATATTAAATAATTATCTTTGAATTCCATCTATCTCTAAATCTTCTTAAATTTTGCTATTCACTCTAATTCTCTTTTCATTGCCTTAATTGTCTTCATCTCCATTATCAAGTTTATTCAAATTTCTTAATATTCTCAGTCAATTCATCATCTTCACTACTAAAATCATCTTTATTATCATATTTACTACATTCGTCTTCCATCTATTTTCTGTTCTGCTTCATTCATCATATTTATCATCTACGCTACTACAGGTACTTTATCAGTTATTTTTTTACAGTGGTAATATACAAACATTCAGACACACGACGATCTCTATATCCTGCCACCAACACACACACACACACACACACACACACACACACACACACACACACACACACAATAAAAATCATTAACTCTCTACTTGAATATTACGCCTTTATCTGGTGTAAGAAAAATAGTAATAATAATAATAATAATAATAATAATAATAATAATAATAATAATAATAATAATAATAATAATAATAATAATAGTAATAATAATGATAATAATAATAATAATAATAATAATAATAATAACATAACTACACTATACAATTACCTATTTATCTTTCTCACATCATTAAAATAACTGCAAAAAATATATGTTGCATTTTAGTTTTTCTTTATATCAATCAATTAAAATTTTAGTTCCTTTGGTTTTAAATATTTTTGTATGTAGTCAGTTTTGTCGATTTTATTATTGTTGTTATTATTGTTATTATTATTATTATTGTAATTGTTACTATTATTATTATTATTATTATTATCATTATTATTATTATTATTATTATTATTATTATTACCACTGATAACAATACCGGAACACATACACACACACACACACACACATACATACACAAAGTGCACACAGGTAACATACAGTTAGCACACAGGTAACACACAGGTAACACACAGGTAACACACAAGTAACATACAGGTAACACACAGGTAACACACAGGTAACATACAGGTAACACGCAGGTAACATACAGGTAACACACAGGTAACACACAGGTAACACACAGGTAACACACAGGTAACACACAGGTAACATACAGGTATCAATCCCTCTCTTAATTAAGCCTAACATCATCATCTATGTCCTATCTCTGGTTCATCAACTCTTTTCTCTTATCCTTTTCCATTTCACTTATTACCTTTACCTGTGCCTAATTAGAAACCATTCATTAAGCGCATAGATTATCTCCCCTTGTAATATAATAAATTCGTGTTAACTCCCACCTAACCTAACCTAACCTAACCTAACCAAACCTAACCTAACCTAACCTAACCTAACCTAACCTAACCTAACCTAACCAAACCTAACCAAACCTAACCTTACCTTACCTCAGTGTGTGTGTGTGTGTGTGTGTGCGTAACTCAATTTATCTAAGTCTTTATCACACACACACACACACACACACACACACACACACACACACACACACACACACACACACACACACAGATATAAATACGGTAAATAAATTATGTAATAAGAGAAAAAAAATTAAACAACTTTGACCGTTAATAACTGATACGGTAATTACTTCCAAAGTCATTAAGTAGTTTGAGCAGTAACTGTGATATGGTTCGTTAGGGATCATATTACTATTACGTTACTCACATAATTACTCTTTAATTACTTCTCTACTCGTATCGTACAGGCAACTGTGCTCTTGCTCTGATGGCGATTGGTTGTTCATTCTGTCAATAATAATCAGCAGCCAATCACAGTGGTTGATTCCGGGTACAGGGGATTAGCCCAAGAAATTTAAATAAGATTGGTGGGTGGAGGTGAGTGGAGTGGGTCCAGACGTTGACAGCAAGAATTAACACATGATATTTGTCCGTATCAAGCTTTCATTATGGACGCGAGACTCAATCACCAGCACAGCTCTATTACCTGGCAGCCTCACGCTCCTCCTGACTGCACCAATTCTTCCGGCCAATCACCGGCGGGCAGTGGGAGGGCCTCTGTAAACGGTCCTTTATCTGAGTGGCCGCCTGGCGTAAGGGAGGAGCTCAGGCGTGGCTACTGTCACTCATATGGCGCCGTCCCTGCCAGGGGGAGGAGCTTCTTAGCTCTGGTGAGGGCGAGGGGCGGGAGTCAGTATATAAGCCAAGGAGGCGGTAGTAAGATGTCCGAGTGACAGCAGGCTGTCAGAACAGCGAGTAAGGACGTGTTGTGTGTTTGACACGTGAGTCTCCTGACGCAGGACGCTATACCTGTGAAGGTGCTTCAGGAGGGAGGTCGCCGGACAGTGTAGTAGTGGTGGTGTGCAGTGCGTGATGGCTCTAGAGCTGGAGCGTCAGCAACAAGTCGCCGCCATAGCCACCTCCTCTAGCCCGCTCGTGTCCCAAGCTGCTGCTATAACCATGGGCGCCCCTGCCGCCCCCGTCAGCCCTGCGTTACCGCCCACGCCGCCCTCACATGATGCTCGCAGCCCGCCCCCGTCTACCCATGATGCCCGTAGCCCGCCCCCGCCCTCACCACGGCCCCCGCTAGAATCCAAAATGCCCCCCTCACCTCCTCCCAGCGGCCATAGTCCTCGCGCCCTGCCCTTCAGCATTGAGAACATCCTGCGGCCAGACTTCGGTGTCACGCGTCTCCCGCAAGAACGCCCGACGATCCGAACACCAGAACTGCTCCTACGAACGCCGCCGAAGACTCCAGAGGCGCCCGTAGACCTCAGCCAGAAGACGTTACCGAGGATCCACAACCAGCAGTACTACCAGATCTCGTCATCGCCGTCGTCGTCATCGTCATCCAGCGTCGGGGGAGGGAACAAGTACCCCGACAACCCCGAGGCGCTGGCCAACCCGAAGGTGCCACAAGACGACACCAACAACTGGCCGGCCTGGGTCTACTGCACCAGATACTCCGACAGACCTTCTTCAGGTGGGTCATTAACTCTTGAGCTGTAGTGGTGTGAGTGATGGTGACGCCAACACTGTAGGTAAAAAACTCTCTCTCTTTGTCTACTGAGAGATGACATAAAAGTTTCCTCCTTCTCCTTCTACATAAGTCATTGTGCTGTAGAGCTAAATAAATAAACAAACTCCTGATAAAAACGCTAAAAACAACAAAAACAATCAGTAAGAAAAACAAATTAAAACAAATACAATACCCCAGCAATAACATAAAACAGTTACATGATACCTGTATACGCATGAAATTAAAAAAAAACCATAATACGCCACAGGAAACAATGTATATGCCTGCAGTAACGCATCTTAACATTATCACTTTGAGTACTGATGTTGTATATTACCCACGTACATATTATTTATCGATTAGTTGTATATTATCTATTAAATAACTAGATCAGTTTTGAGCGTTGATTAATTGTCAGTATTTGTCGATTAGTTGTACATAATGTTATATTACTAGATGAGATTTGAGCGTTGATTAATTGTTAGTAATATTAGTAGATATTATTCGTATTATTGTTATTGTTACTTAATTATTGGTTAAGTAGTTGTGTTGATATTTATTTAATTTTTTTATTAATATTAGCGTTTATTCTATATAGGTTAGGTTAGGTTGATGATGTGGAAGGGAAGCACTAGTTGGGAGAATTGATTATTATTATTATTATTATTATTATTATTATTATTATTATTGCTGTTGTTGTTGTTATATTTTCTCCTGTGGTTCAACTTATTATTATTATTATTAGTAGTAGTAGTATTATTATTATTATTATTATGATTATTATTATCAAAAAACCCGATAATGAAAAATTTATGTATATTTTTTTTCATTTATATAAGAAAACAATATTTATAAACCCAAAGAAAATTATAAAAATATGTATATCTTTTTTTCTTTATTTCCTGTAGAACCAAGAGGCGAGTACAGAGCGGCCAGGTCAGGTCAGGTCAGGTCAACCATATCATTACGACACTAATTCTGCCGCCCCCCTTTTGATGGTCCAACCTTCCTTAATTACACCGCCGCTACCGCACACCGCCCGACCGTCCTTTCAAATGTTTGTGAATTAATTTTCCGTTTTACTTGCTGCTTATTATTCGATGGTCGCTTCTGTATGTGTAAATTCCACTTTTTTTTAATACTTGTTAGATTAGGTTAAAAATATGTTTGATTTTAGTTCAGTTTTATCAGTGTTAAATTTGAATTTGTTAATATCGCCGCTGACTTTCGTGGTTCAAAAGTTAAAATATAATATCCGCTTTATTGTGCTAATTTAACTTGTTCTTTAGTTTGTAATGTTAAATTGGGTTAAATTGGTGTCTTGCTTTTTACAATACTCATTTTTATGTTAAATTTGGAGGCCGGTTAATAAGAGGATTCTTCGTTTTTTTCTCGTAATGTTAACTTACTTTTAACATCCTCAGGTACATGATAATTAATTTACCTTGTGGGATGTTATAATTTATCACCGCTATAAATGTTCCTTAACATCATTTTATAACGATTCAAATCCTACTAAATTGAGTTAAAAAGAAACCTTCAAAATCTTCTCGGTTTGTTGAAATTGTTTGTGGTTAAATTACTCGTTAATTTTAATTTCCTTCGGTGATATTAAAAAACTTTACTTGTTAATTTTCCGCGAAACTTTGTGCCGCTAAAATATGTTATAAGTTAATCTTCATTTAATATCGTCAAAAACAAAATATTAAAACATGTTAATTAATTTCTATTCATCTACGTTAAATTCGCTGCTATAAAAATTTCATCAATTAAGTAATACTAACATACAAGGATTATATTATTAACATCATATAGAAACTACTAATTATAATATACATATATATATATAAGTATATTGTAGGTATATAGGCCTATGTAAATATATATACTAGGCCTATACTCCAAAACTCTCTATAATTACATAACTCGTAAATTTATTTCTGTTATAGGGATTCAATTTACACTGAATAAATACTTTTCTAATTATCGAGAAAATTATAAACAAAAAGTAAGAATAATGGACAGAAATTCTTACTACTTTGAATAGGTTGTTTTGACGAGGCCTTCCCCCACCCACCCGCCACCCAGCGTTAAAAAATAAGCTATTATTTAACATGAACTGAACGCCGCGTTGAGAGTTTTTTTTTTGTTATGAAGAACGTGTGTGTGACATGCATATGCGTTCAGATACCAGCGTGGAATTTAATCCTATACAGCGTTGAAGATTTACACGAGACCACAATACCAGCGTTGGATTATACATGCAGTGTATACTAATGCGTTGTGGTTTAGGTGCTGGCGTGGAAATGTGTATAATGTGTGTAGGCCTAGGTATTCCAATGTTTGCGTTGAAGAAGTACAGTCAGCGTGGAAAATATACAATTGACGTGGAGAGTGGAAGTGAGTGATCAGATGTTAGCGTTGAAAGTATACAGAGAGCTTTGGAAGGATTGAAACCAGCGTAGAAATTACACTGAGGTCGTGGAAGAATTATTTTCAACGCCCTTTAAATTCTTGAGAGATGGCGTGGACTACACTACAGCGTGGAAACTGTAGGTGAGAATGGGAGGCGTGTAACTTTGAAGCATGATAGACAATTCAACGCAGGGTTGTCGGAAGAGCGGTGTATGTGTATAGCCGATGCCTCTCTTCTTCCTAACGTGGAAAGTATATCGGGTACAGAGTGCGTGGAAAATTAGCGTGGAAACTCCAACTATACACATAACGTGGAGTGAGAAAATACAGGGCTTACACTGTGGCGTGGAAACTGTAGAAGGCGTGTATGACTGGCGTGGAAAGTATAGTAGTTGCGTTTAGTTTAAGTTTGAACGCCTCTTAACCCTCCTCCTCCTACTACTTCCCACTCACAGACAGACAGACAGACTCCGAGATTCCAAGAATGCGCAGTCCATCAGTATAAGGCGAAGTGGAAAGTCAATTTTCCTAGTGATTTCCCTGCAATGTGTGGCGCGCGCCCCCATGCTTCCTCCCCACGCCCTCCCCCCCCCTCCCCGCGCCCTCTCTACCACGCCCACCGTTGTTAAAATCGTCCACTAACCCACACACGCCCTCTGTTCGAATTCCACGCTGTTCCACGCCCATGCAAAATTATTCGTTATTACGATGACGTGTACAGGCCTTTGTTGCCAGGCTAAACTGTCCACTAACTTCCACGCCACCCAACGCACCTATAGATGAGTTGTCCACTAACCCACAAGCCTTCTCTGTAAATTCCACGCTACCCTTGGTATGATTTTTCAAGGCGTCTTTATAAAATTCACGCTGGTTATACACGCCTACTGCTCTCACTGTTCAGTTTCCACGCCTGTTCCACGCCAGCTGAGTAAATTCCCTTAGACTATGTGGCCTTTACACGCTATCTATCTTTCCACGCCGTCTATATATGCTGCATGCCTTCTATGCTGACTGTGCACGCTTTCCACGCCCTCTGTTTATATTCCACGCCTACTAAATACTTATCCTTATAACGGTTATACATATGCACGCCCTCCTACGCGCCCATCCACGCCTTCCTACACGCCCATCCACGCCAAGTCTCCAGGAGGTTGTATTCACATTTTTCTTCTGTATTGCCGCGCCTTCATCTTAGCTTCCCACGCCTTCATCCTAGTAACCTACGCCTCCCGCGCCTTTAACCTGACTTTCCTGGCCTTCATCCTAGACGCCCGCGCTTTCATCATTGATACCCGCGCCTTCATCCTAAAAGCCTGCGCCTTCATCTAGACGCCCGCGCTTTCATCATTGATACCCGCGCCTTCATCCTAAAAGCCTGCGCCTTCATCTTAGACGATCGCGCCTGTATCCTAGCAATCCATGCCTCTCACGCCTTTAACTTAGCCTCCCGCGCCATTATCGTAACTTCCCGCGCCTTCATCCTAAGAACCCACGCCTCCCGCGCCTTCACCCCAGCAACCCACGCCTCCCCGCGCCTTCACCCTAGCAACCCACGCCTCCCGCGCCTTCACCCAACCCACGCCTCCGCGCCTTCACACCCTAGCAACCACGCCTCCCGCGCCTTCACTTGAGCAACCCACGCCTCCCGCGCCTTCACCTTACAGCAGAACCGAAGATGTTACTCACCATTTGAATAACTATCGAGTGATTTTTATTCAGTATTCTAATTGTCGTCTTTATCACCGTTCCTAATTACCCATTTATCACCACCTGCTTTAATTACCACCAATTAGCGTTTCTGTAGTATATTGACGGCCAGGTAATGTGGTCTCTCTCTCTCTCTCTCTCTCTCTCTCTCTCTCTCTCTCTTTGTCTCTATTTATCGCCTTTTTCTATTCCTTAAGTAGTTAGGTAGATAATAATAATAATAATAATAATAATAATAATAATAATAACAAGAACTAATATTTATCCACGAAAATCACTCCCAAATAAACCAACTAATAATAACAAAAATAACCACAAAATACAGTAAGAGAATTAGACGAGAGAATGATAAAAGGGGAATAAGGGAATAAAGGAATAAAGGGAATTAGAAAGAGCAAAGAAGAATAGCCTCCTCGTCTCGTGTGGTTTCTTTGAGGTTTCTTCACTCAATTACATTTCCCTTGCGAGTGGCTGAACTCTGGTTGTTGGCTGCCGACCCGAGAGTGAGAGGGGAGAGTGGGAGGAGAGGGGAGGGTGATGGGGGAGTGGGAGGAGAGGGGAGAGGGGAGGGTGATGGGGAGGAGGAGAGGGAGAGTGGGAGGAGAGGGGAGGTGATGGAGTGGGAGAGGGAGGAGAGGGGAGGGTGATGGGAGAGTGAGAGGGGAGGAGAGGGGAGGGAGGGAGTGGGAGTGGGGGAGGAGGGAGAGGGAGAGGAGAGAGGGTGATGGGGAGGAGGAGGGAGGAGAGGGGAGGGTGATGGGGGAGTGAGAGGAGAGGGAGAGTGGGAGGAGAGGGGAGGGTGATGGGGGAGTGGGAGTGAGAGGGAGAGTGGGAAACGATGTACAGGAGAAGAAATGCTATGTGTTGATTCTAAAACCGTGAAATTTGTATGTATGTATGTATGTATGTATGTATGTATGTATGTATTGTTTAGACGTTTTGTATGTATGTATTTACGTAGGTATATGTCAATTCTCTCTCTTCCTCCTCCTCTTCTCCTTTCTTCTCTTCTTCTTCTGCTTCCTCCTCTTCTTCCCTATTCCCTCCTCCTCACTCAGATCAAATTCCACTCCACTAACTCTCATCCTAGTAAGGACCTGGGTGGTGAGCAGCTGGTAGGGTGTTCCTTCCCGTTTAACACTGCCTTCAGTCTCCCTTTTCCCCGCTTGTATACTGATAGAGAAATTACGCACATACGCCAACAAATTATTTTACGTATATAGTGAAAAATATTACGCATATACGCAAATAATATCTTGTGTTGAGGAAGATGTCGTTCTATGTATGAAAATTTATCTTATGCGTAGATGAAAATATCTCATACGCAAAATCATTTTACGCAAGAACACTTTCAGGTTTAGAGAGGGAAATATCTTTATTCGCCAAAAAAATCTCCTCAGCATTTAATGTAAAAAATATTATACCCAAATGCCAGAATACTTTCATCAGTAGGGTAAAAAAACATATATATATATATATTTCCATGCGTAAAATATCATTAATGCGTAAAGAATGATGCGTCATTCTTATACAAAAACAAATATCTTACGCATACAACAAAAATATTACGCACAAGAAATTACTCCATCATATATAGAGGAAAAAGTATTATTTTGACACCTTAAAATTATCTTCCACGTGTAGAGGAAAATATTACGAACATAAGTAAAAAAATATTGTTATTAATTTACATCATAATATTACTCAGGGAAATATCTCTCTCTCTCTCTCTCTCACTGGATTAAATATTCAACGCCACAAATATGAACAAAATAAGAGAAATATTGACTCCTAT